GCGCGACGAAATTAAAGTAGATAAAGCGTATAAATGGCGGTCTTTCCGACACCCAGCTGCCCGTATATACTTCAATGGGCGGTACTGTCGCGTTTGCGTTACGATTGTTTCTCCGACTACATCATTCTCGTCCTGTTCATGGAATTCTGTCGTGCCGCAAGAGGTCAAGAAAGCGCCATTTCCGTCGTTTGTTCCGTTCCGTTGCCCGCAACTTGTCGGTGCTTTATCGAAATCCCAATGTCTGACAACGACTGTAAGGAAAAAAATCAGACGGCTGTACGATGATACGGCGGGATGGAAGGACTGACTCTCGCCAAGCTCAACGGTCTCTTCTTTCGCCGAGAGATGACGAGGAGAAAAAAAGTCAAGCGAGTTGATCTAACTCATCGTGAACGATCGCCGCGATTTACCGATTTATTTTCACTATGGAATTGTCTGCTCGAAATCTAACTCTAAACTTGACATAAATCGATAAAAAATAAATATCAAAATTGTAACATAAATACTTATCCTACAGAAAATATAAAGTTCACAAATTATATACAAACAAAGAAAAATTCAACAATCTACAAGGAAAGAATGGTTTTGCTAAAATATCTAAAAATTTAGCTAAATGTAGATTTGAAAATAATAAGTACACTGTATTCATTCATTTTTATACGCTGCGTCATTTCGATTCCTTAAAATTAATTAGCGTCATTTAATTAACATAAATTAAATAGGTCTTATATACTCAACGTTAATAACTATGTCATTGGTTTTGACGTCAGTTTCGAAGAGTTATTTATAAAATTATTAAATTCGAAAAAATATCTCTGTGAAGGTTCTCGTTTAAACTAATTGTAATAATTTTTCCATCGAGTTGTGCGTGTTAGAAATATACATACACACACACGTGGACCTTCTCTATTTTTAATCTCTTAGACGCGGATAAGTGGTATAAAAAGTCGTGACATTCCCACGTCCCTCGTCGGTTAGATTTCGATAAGCCCCCTGTTTGCTCGACCGAAAGAATAGTCCGTTCGCGGTTTTCGGGCCATTAAAAGGGGAAAGTAAAGGGCTCGACAAATATTTGAGGTCCGTTGTTACTGCGTGTGACCTAGTCCGCGTACTATTTCATTCCGCTATGCGTGTATCGTTGCAAATAATATCGTTTGAGAAAGCGAGAAAGATAAGCTCCACATGTTGATCTCGGTTGCATGGTTCCGCAAATTTGGCTGGATTTACTCTAAGCCCTTTAGTATAAAATTCTTACCTTTTAGAAATCTAACTCTTCCTTGAAATGAAGCAATTATATTCTGAGATAATTTCTGAAATTACATTTACGTGTTACGAAACAATCTCTAATATATCTTTAAAGATGTATAAAATATATCGGCACCCAATTTCCGGGAAGTTGGGAACGAGAGGGGAATTAAATGCGACAGATTTTAGTCTCTCTTGTTGCTTTATTTCTACAAATTAGCGTACATCGCACTTATAAGTTATGGTTTAATGCTCGCCCTTCAGTGTGCACAGCTACGCTGAGACGTTAACCTACGCTTCCTATCAATCCTCGTAAAAATGCGGTGAATAAATATCTAAGTACAAAAGCACGGCTGTGTCAGCGTAGTAACTAGTAAGTGTTAATAATGTATATGTATAGTCTACGTCATCTATGTGTTTTAATATGGAGCTGTAAGTTCATTTACAATAGCTGCACGCTCGATATCAGGCCAGTTCGGTCCTCGATATATCCGGTCTAATTGATGTCCGCCGATCGATTCGATCGAGCTAAAATCGAAGATAGCACTTATAATTAGATCTCATTAAAAGCGTGGAACAATTCACGACTGAACCATTAAAGACCATCGAATCTCCAATTCATAAAAATGCTCGATTAAAATTTAGCTTTTATTCCCATTTCCACCAATGATTAATTTAAGCTTGGTTCAACTGGCTCTTTATTTTTTTTTCTAATTCTTAAAACTAGAAAACTTTAAAGAGTTAAAGTGGCGAAAATCTTTTATAGTCGCGACAGTCGAGACGATCGTCGCCGTATCCCGAATTCCGGGTCCCGAAATACTCGGTCTGTTAAACGGAAAGCGCCAAGTGCACATTTGTTGCCACCCTCGATCGTATTTCAGCCGTTTATTTGAACGAGACGTGCGCGAGCGAGCCGATCGCCGGTTTATAACGTTCGCGCGTGTCTCGCGTATACACACACATATATATATATATATATATATATATATGTATATACTATATACTATATTATTACATTTGAAACGCTCGCGCCGCCAGGCACCGTGTATATCGAGCGGCCGCTTGTTTGTTTGGCCTGAAATTCTGCGCTTTGGAATGGCCGGCTGTCATGGAATGATGTCATGGTGAGTATCGTGGCCGCGCCTCGTCCACGTAGTAAAGACTCTCAAGCCGGAGAATGGCCAATCCGCCATTTTCATACGTCGAGCAGGATCCGTCGATCCGTTTCTCGGGTTGCAAAGCAACAATTTTTTTTTTATTGCAAAAAAACAATTACCAGTAAATTGTATGTAGTAGAAAATATTCACAACTTAATCAATTCGTCATGCAGTTCGATTCTAACTTGAAAAAGGAGATCTCTTCTGAAGATATCAACATTTAATTTAACAAAAATGTGTCAAATGCAACGGTTTAATTAATTGTCAAGATTATAAGAACTCTTTACGGATTTTGATCTCCTTTTCAATATATAATAAAAACTAACTCATCGGAATTCAAATTTTCATATAACAGAGATCTTTTATATATTAAAAAGTATTATTTGCAAGGCCCATTCAACAAAACGCTCAGACACAGCATGATTTATTTTTAATATAGATTCGTCGTATTGAAGAAAATCAAAATCCATAAAGATCCATGCATTATATTCTCTTTTTGTTAAATAAACATTGTGCAATGAAAGAAAATTGTCTATAAAAACAAAAAATTTATATTTAATTAAATTAAATATTATATATTGAATCAAATTAATATCAAAATTAAATATTGAATCGAAGAAAATTATGAATAGTAAAATCGTTGTATATTAAAAAGGAGATTAAAAACTCAGAAAAATTGAAACTCAAACAATGTGATTTTGCCGGACTCTGGCTTGAGTATCTCTGGTAGATACATCTACAGTAAATTTTAGTGCAATTAACTCTGCACTCGTATATCTTCCCTTCATTTTTCATTGAAATTGGGGAGAGAAATGCATATTCGCGTCAAATTAAAAAAATTATGAAATGCCTGTTTTCAAGATATTCATGATATATAAATTTTTCATAAAAGAGTATATATCATCCTTTTTACAGTTCGCGCGAAATATGCTATCTGATGCAACGAGTTATTTTAACTTGTTTCAATTTATTTAAAGCATATTATTATATTTACAGGATATTATGCAAGCGTTTGCACGATAATTATCGCGATACTGACATTGCGATAGAAGAGCGATAAGAGTTTAATTTGTACGAGAATTATTTCGAAAAGAACTTGAAAGGCTCGCGATATAAGCAGCATTTCTTTTTCCTCTCGTCTATCTCTTTCAAAAATTTAATGTCGTCAAATGTCAAAGACGATGACAGCAGTTCCTTCTTGAGGCGGAAATGCCGATATCTTAAATCGATACGAATGAATATCCGAAATATCTACGTTATACTAATGATAAACTTTATCACTCGAAACTCGCATTTAGTCGTGCATCCCACGCACAGACTCGCGCATGTACTATTAATAAATCTCTGTAATTAATTGTTAATTACGTTGTATTTGGCTATCCTTAAGGCTCTGTGTGGCCCAGAAACATCGCAGGGATTTAACACCGCAGAGATTTAATACCGCGGCGATTGATCCAATCACAATTCATTTATATAATCATTTGCTTATACAATTATTTCTACAATCATTTTCATTTATACAAGCAACTATAGATCAATGTAACAAAATAGTCGATGTGTAATAAAATAATCTTTATTTTACTTTCTTTACTTTACTCGACGCATTTCGTACGAAATTTTTCAGCGCCGTTATATCTACAGGATGTCCTGGATCTGTCAGAAAATATTTCGTAAACAAATTCCTCGGCGGCGACTTTTTCTTAATAAGAAATATAACTGTGTAGTTCAAAATAAGATCGTTTATACGAATAAATTGCAAAAATTACGAAAAATAAGTCTTTAATTCTTAAATAATTTCAAGATAATTTCGATAATTATGTAACTTCGAACTTCGAAATACATTTTAATCTTCCGTCTGCAATCTGTTTGTTTTTTTATTGTTTCAGGCTTTCAAAAAATGTGGAAAAATTCACGATTACTTTTCAACATCTCTATTACATTACCAAATATTTGTGTTTAATAATATAGAAAAGACTTTTGTTAAAATATCTATCAAATATTTTAATAGATATTTATTAAAATATCTATCTATAAAATTTAGTCAAATAAAGATCTAAAAATAATTTTTTTATGTTGCACCATCAAAATTATATATATAGGATATATATAATTATATATATATATATAGGACGTTCAACCTGATTACTATTTAGAATATTAAAATTTATTGTAGCGTTGCTCTCATGCTTGAGATTTCTACGTAATTGTTTTGATCATCTAACAAAATTATTATTAGATTTAGCTAACTTTTCGGGCATTTCAGTAAAATCGTTCTTTCCATGAAGATATTTTAAAAGAGGGAATCGGACTCCGTCCTCCTTTACTAACTTTATTTCTCAGAGAAAAATTTGAGAATGAAATTTTGTTTGTGCCAAAAAAAAAGATTCAGATTGTAGACGGAGAGTTGAATACTGAAAATTTAAAACAATGACGTCAACCATAGAGAATCACGTGGAATTTCGAAAATTTGTCCATCGAATATTTCGCGGTTGATCCGGGACGGTCTACGCGAATTCTTTTTCCAATCGCGAGTACCGCGACGTGCCTCTCGGCATCGTGAAACGAAAAATATATCGAGCATGTTTACCTCGCTTTGGTCTACATATAATTCGGCCACGTCTCAATGCCAGACACGTAGCGATGTGCGTATTGCGCGTAGGGCGTGGATACGTGCGGATGGCCCATCTGGGTACTCGCGTGCGAATGGTGCGTGTTATGGGCGGCTATGTACTGGACCGGCGGAAGGGGAGGCTGCAGCTCGTGGTACCTAACCATCTCCTGAGTCCTGTCCTCCCATGACACCTCCGCGATCGCCTGTTCTGAACAGTGACGCTTGATCGGTCTCTCGATCTCCTCCTCGTATCTGGAAGCGAAGCAAAGTGTCCCGACATCTCATAAATCATACAGAGATAGAAACGCGGACAAAAAAAATCAACAAAGCAAATTTCGAGAAATCTACCGGGTCATTTTACACAACGTGTCTTTAGCAACTTTTGTTCGATGCTAATAAACAATAATTATATCGAATGAAGAGTAAAAAAGGACATGTAAAATTATAAACAAAAATATAACAAGGTTTAGTTAAGTGGCTATTAACATCTAAAAAAGAAAGTAAGAGAGTCAACTAACACCGTCCAAAATAAATATACTCACATTTAATTAGAGAGGAAACGAAAGAAGGGCAAAAATTAATATTCATACAAAATTAAAATGTTAATATTAAAGCCAATCTCCGAGGATTTCCAGCAAATTTTCACATGAATAACGCATGACCACGCATTGATCAGCAAGCGTTTAAGTTTTTTCACATCGAATGATTTTTATAATTTAATTATTTTCTCCTTCCAAAATTTAAGAAGAGATTCGAGAAGTGCCCTTCCACGCCGCCATATTTGTCTCGAGCATCCAGATTTTTACTGATGATCTCTGTTTTAAGTGTAACTCTTTTTAAGTCGAAACTTTCAAAGTACCGCCATTGACTCTACGTTCTTTTTAGGACGCACCCTTTGATTTGAAGTCATTGTGAAAGAGCGCAATTACGACGGTCTGTCTACCTGTTGAGTAACCATTGCGAGGCGGTGGTGACTTGCACGGGCGGGTACTGATGTATCGGTGCAGTCTGGGGCGGTAAGTATTGGTCGAGCTCATTGCTCTCGACCTCGCACTCCTGGAAGTTCACCGGGAGATTCAAGTCGAGCCCGCCCAAAGTGCCGAGGCCATTCAACTGGTTCTCCTCGCCGGGGAGGCCATCTCCGACCTCGATATATCGAAGATCAACCGCCGGTTGTTGATGCGGGGACTCACTCGACGTACCGTTGACCAAATCCTGGTAATACACCGTGTTGTTCTGTGGAAGCTGATTGCTCTGCAAATCAAGCGTCTTCATTTCGCAGAACATCAACGATTAGAACGATTAACTGGAAATGCAAACAGCTCGCGCGCGTGCGAAAGCTTGGAATAATTATATTTACGAGAGAAGTCGAGCTCTTAGCGAGCTAATGAGCATCAATAATATTAAATCGCGTCTTTGTAATTCATAATAGTCTTATAATTTCATAATAAATAATTTCGTAATTTTATAAAACTTTATAATTTTTTAGTATTTTAATTTTTTCAAGTAATACAAATTCTTTAATTCATATTAAAAGCTAATCAATCAATTAGACGAAATAGAAGACGAAATATTTAATTTTTGCTGCCATTTGCAAGAAATAGTTTTAAACTGTAAATTACTCTTTTCTCCATTAAATATAATAATCACAAAGTGAAAATTAAATAACAGACAACTTACTGCTTAAATTTAAATTATTTTATCATTACTAACATTTATAATTAAATAATTTGAAATAGCAGAAATATGTATATCGTTAATATTGTATATTAATTATCTAAATCACATCTCATCAAATCGAAAATTCTCGTCGAAAAACGATCGCAAGGGACTCGTGTTAGATACCTGATTGATATAGTGCTGTCCCCTGGGCGTCGTTGGGGGTGTCGGCGGTGAAAGACCCTGACTGGGTGTCGTGGGTGGCGAAGAGCTCACGCCACTCTGCGGTGAATTGGGTCCTTGAACGCCTCTAGGACTCATGTCCTCCTGCTTCAACGACCTGGTAACGCTGAACGTCACGTTGCTCTGACTCCTCGTGGGCGAACTATCGCGGCCGGAGGACGGCCCATTCTGCTTCCGACGTCGTGGTTGATACTTGTAATCGGGGTGCTCGCGTTTGTGGATAACGCGCAGACGATCGGCCTCCTCGATGAAGGGTTTCTTGTCATTGTCAGACAGGAGTCTATACACAATCAGCCGTAAAAGAAATTTAAATTATGCTAGACAAAACATAATTTTTGTACATATTACGAGCTTCGCAGTATCATTCTGATATTTGTGATATTTTTTATTTAAGTAATATATTAATGCTTTTTTTTGACCGCATAATTCTTATTTGTACTTGTATTTCAATAACGGATTTTAATAATAGCTTTTGAGAACTGTGAAACATTTCTGTCGCTTGAAAGGACCTCTAATTATATAGTATATAGTAGAAAATTAAGTTAAAAACTCCATCCATTGTTGGGGTATGTTAAGCTAGCACCCGAACTATAGTACTCAGGAGTTCTGATTAGAGTTCCCACTTCCTTTTGACGAGACGAAGAGTTTCCTATAGTTAATAACAAGAGTTCCACTCAATAAATATTTTTTTTACATTTTTTTAAAATGGGGTGCTAACTTTTTAACGAAATTCAAGGTCGCATAGTTCTGATCAGCT